CTTTTTAAAAAATCGTAGGAAATAGTAAATTCTCATGTTTATGTCTTTTCAACTTGTCAAAAAACTTTTTTGTAGCAATACATCATTCTTCAGATAATGTATAAAATTTTGAGATTCGTCTAGAACACTTTAACATCATAGAATGCTTGAAGTGCAACGTGAAGGCACATATAGGTTCATTTTAATCGTATAGTAATGAGCAAATCCATTAGTGTTCACTCAACCGATAAGTCTCAATATTTTTCATAAGGAGAAAAGACTTTAAAGGCAATTCCATCTTCTCTCTATCTGAAAATGCAACTTTGGCGACTTTAAGTTTTGGATTGTTAGTGTATCCGCGACGTGTCCTCCGTTAGCAGCCTAGAAAGAAAGAATTTACAGCGGCTCGTGGCTGTGGATATGAATGAGAGATGCATGCACAACCGACGTCCACGTAAATTCATACTCAGTTATGCATGTCATTATTTTTACATGTATGATTGAAATTTCCTTAAAAATGATAATCAAAACTACCAGAATTTACCACAAAATTCAATAGGCACAAAAGCAGATGATTGGAAAGATATCGGCTCTGTTATATATTTTATTTTTCCAGCCTGCAAAATATAGCTGATATCTCTTCAAAAGCCGAATACCGATGGCAAACGCGACTATTTCATTCAACAGTTTTGCAATCTTTGAATATCATGACGCATATGTAAGAAGAGTATAATAGATCGGTATAGATGGATGTGCTAGAATAGGAAATTGGCACTCACAGCAGTGAGAAAATATTGTTATCCATATTGACCTGCTGCTGAATATTGATTGATTCTCTTTTATCAAACCTACAAGGAAGTCTGATTGTCTCACCTTTCTTTGTACCTTCAGATCGTGAAATTCGTGCTCTGATCTCAAGTAATTTCTTGCACCACCGCACACTCTTGTTGAAATCACCTTTCCGTTTAGTAGTAATCAGCCAGATCAACTTTTCCTATTGTCCGTAATAGCTTTTCCAGTGTCCACAGATTTATCTCTCCAGTGCCGTTTCGTCTCTTAATATCTGGAAGAACTTCTTTCTAATTGTGTTCGTCATCACTGGACAGGGACGTTTTAATTGTCCACACTTTGTCGTCACCTTGATTAATGAAGTTCAGACGGAAAATGGAGCCAAGCATAAACAGTATTCTTGGATTCGTTAGGAAAATGAATAAGAGTGTTAATGTCAGCAAACGGTTTCGTCGTGACTATCTTGGAATCAACATCAATCTCGAATATAACTAGTTATAAATTGATCTGTTGGGCCATGTCACCAGTATAGAAATCATCTATTAGAGGTTGATTAGTAGTAGAAAGAAGTGAATTTATAGAAACAAATTAGTGAATGTTTTGTTTAAGTTCATCTATTTCCTCAATCGACATCAACTGACTTCAATAAATCGAGCAAAGTGCTGAGATTAATAACACTGTAACTGATAATATATGTCGACAATGAATGAACGATACACGAAAAACATATAAATATTTTGCTTGTGTAAAGTTACATTCAGTCTTGTAGAAGAACGACTGACAAGTATACCATTACAAAGCCTTGTCGGATGTGTAATGCTTCCGAAATTCACGCAGATTGTTGAGTTCGACACGGTTACCATTGTATGCATTCTTACAACAAGAAATGAGTTCTTTTCTGTTCATCTCATTGGGTTTCAATCGAAGGAAACAATCGATTAGCAATTGAGAAAAAGTGAATTGACCCTTGATTCTTGTCGTAGACTTCTCTGTGTTGTCACCTGTAGTGAATATGTTGATCAACAATGGTTCTTGCATCTTCATATGATTCTTATGATCTCCTTGAATTCGAGAAACCAGTTCTACCGGTTCAATAACAATGATCTTCATCTAAATCGGCGGTGCAACATGGAAGAAATCTATCAGAATAATCCTACCTTAACGAACTTGTTTGCTCACTGTTTATTAGTCTCTCTGTCTGTGGAACCAACATAATATTGCTGAGACTTGTCGAAGTTTATGAATGAAGGGTATCATTTGTCGACCTAGCTGACAACTAACAATGAGCATTAGACGATCGTGTTGTGGTCTTTGCTGTATATAGTTTTTACACTCTTCCAAATCTTGAAATCTTTTGAGATGATTGATGATAGAACACAGTCTTTGTTGTGCATCTTGATTTCCTTCAGAGTGAGTGTTTTTGTCAAGTCAAATAAGACTGAATATTTTGAGATGATCGTCGTTGCCATCAATGAAAGCATCAACAGATTAATGTAGGCTAGTTTTGTCATCTAGACAGAAACAATGAATTCACAGTTCTCCTAAAGTTTGTCTGTTTTATATGAGACTGGAATGAATGGAAGAAGTTTCTTTCAACGTGATACAAGCAAAATGAATTTCTGCTATTAAAAATGCTTGTGTTCTTCATAATAAGTCCTTTCACCATTTCTGAATATGCTCCCAGTCTTACTCTTTTTTTGCCACTATCGATAAATCGTTTTCCACGTAAGCACGATGTCATAAAAACCTATACCATCCGCATTACAGCGAGATCTTGACCTATAAAAATCATTGAAGTTCCACATTGACTTTTATTTTACCTTTTCTTTTATTTATCATCCAAGTGAAAAAGAAGATATATAATATCATGTTCTTTATGTAATGTTAGTCTAATATCAAGTACTAGAATGTTCATCAAGTTGCCTTCTGTCTTTTTCTTTTTTCTTTTCTTTCTACTCCTTGCTGGTTTTCTTCTACATGTGAATCTGTGTGTTTGTGTACTGTATGAAAGATTTTCTTCTCTTTAAATAAACTATTGGGTTGTAACATAAGTTTTGCAGGTTTTGTTGTTAATGAACAAATTTATTTTACGACAAAGATATGCAACATCAATCAACAATACAATTGCCATTATTTTTGAAACTTGGGTCCATCTTGCTAGCAATTGTTTAATCAGACATTTTCAGAAACTAGTCAGTTATGATTCGAAAAAGACAGTGAAATTTTGTTGATTGCCAAAAAAACCTGCAGAACTTTTGTTACAACACAATAGTTAACTTAAGGCCTCCCTCCCCCTCAAAAACCGATCTCAGACAGGGTACACTGAAATCGCATGAAATTTTTAGGGTTTGTTGGTACTGATGTGAGGAGGCTGTGATAAAATTTTCAACTCAGTATCATGTATCTGGAGGAAGATATTGAACAAACAAGGGTAAAAAAAATAGCTGATTTTGTCTGCAAGAATTCTCTGTGGGACGTCATTGAATATATGTATAGTGTTTTTTTTGAAAGAGCGTCAAAAACTGCAGGTGCTCTGAGGCTCTTTTTTTTTTTATATTCTTACTTTATATATGAAAAAATCAGTAGAAAGTTCAATGTCTCAAAAACCTCATTGAAAACACGCAAAAAGTTGGTATCCATTCATCTATATGTCTTTTTTTGTACTAAAATTAAAGCTAAATTTAAAAAAAGGAGCTTCAGAGCACCTGCAGTTTTTGACGCTCTTTCAAACAAAAAGAAATGTGGGATTTTATCTTGTACTTGTACTGTGGTTGAGTATTCTTGCAAATACATTGTCAATCTCACATTCTGAGAAAAACACTAAAGAAGTTTTAGAAATGGATTTTTTCATTCAAATGCAGGAAATAATGGACTTTGATTACTGTACCGAAAAATGGATTTTTTGAGGAGGGGAGCCTTAAGTAGCAAATAGAGTCTCATTGATCTGTTATTTTATTGGCTTCTTGCTTTCTGATATTGTACCCTTATTTATTTCTATCAATCTATAAAAAAAAATATTTAGACTGTAGTTTATTCTTTTTGTTTCAAGTTCTATAGAAGGTTTTAATAGTCCAATAGTTGACAACAAGTTTTTTAACAACATTATATGAATAAATGTCGTTCAACGATCCAAATGGTCAATAAATCATCAAATTTAACATCCTATATGGATCAATTGAAAATTGTTCATAAAATTTGACATAGTATTTCAATGGATTGTAAAAGTTAATGGAACTCAGCAAAATTTATGATTGAAAATATTTGAAGACTGAAGTCGCTAATAACTCAGTCATATTGAAATAAATATGATTTATCTTTAACTCGTGACAATAACGAAAACAAAAACTTAAAAATCTTGAATAAGTCAGTGATGAATTGTGCTTGATTGTATTTATTGAACATATGCTAACGTCGTTTTATAATGTGACAAACTTAATGAGCAGTGAAAAGTACAGCAACACCGAAACATCTTTATGTGCCATTCGAAAAAATTGAAGAACATTTTTTAGAAACTCCTGGTGAGCACAACTCCTTCGTTAATAATATGAAAAATGATTACATACATTCAGAATAACGCAAAAAAAAATGAGAAAAGACCCATAATAAAGCTATAAATAATTTCAATAAACAAGCAAAATCTATGATGTTCGAGAAAAATATTATACAATGAGTGATGTCGAAGCATCACGAATGTATTGATAATCATTAAGAAGAGTTGCCCATTGGTTCAAAAACTAAAGTCCGTCTAAACTAGGAATTTTCCATCTGAAAATTTTAAGCTTGCTTCTGGACTGCTTGTCACTGACTGGTAAAATTTGTTGTCCATCTTAGACCGATCACCAAAGAGATAAATAATAATATCGTTACGAAGCAACAAAAAAGGGTCGCATCACCGCAATTTTTCATTACTTATATATGACTTATTATAAATAAATTTTGTATCTAGCAATAAATAGACCAATATCGTTTTAAATAATTTCATACATCATCTGGAATCGATGACCAATTTTTTATTGCTATTCATAACTGTATATAGGGACCGAGTCAATGATTTCGATTATTCACTAAAAAAAAATTTGCTTTTCCTTAGAATATAAAATATGAAATTACTATAAAATGAAAATATTGTTGTATACATAAAGCATCATTATGATGCTTTGTATGAAGTTCCTTTCTTTTTTTTTATTTTATTGCAAATTATTATATGACAATTGAAAAAAAAAGAGTACAATCTATGTCGATGATGACGACATTTGTTTGAGCATTGCTTCTGTTAATTTAAATTTTTGTATTTTGCCTGTTGGTGTTGTAAATGGAAGAAACGATTCAACAATTTTAACATATTTTGGTACTTTGAAAAATGCCACTTTAGACGATAAAAATGTTCTTACTTCTTCGACGTCATCGATTTTTGTTCCTGGTTTTAATTTAATCCATGCACAAAGTACTTCACCATATCGTTTATCAGGCACACCAAATACTTGCGCTTCAGCTATATTTGGATGTTCTAAAAGAAAATTTTCTACTTCAACTGGATATACATTAATACCACCAACAATAACCATTTCTTTTTGACGTGATCGATAATAAACAAAACCTTGTTCATCCATAATACCTACATCACCTGTTCTTAACCATCCAGAAGCTGTTATAGTTTCACGAGTTTTTTCATCATCACCATAATAACCTAAAGAGTAAAATGAATTTAAAAAATAGCAAAACAAAACAAATTCATTTGAAAGAAAACCCTACCTTTCATAATATTAAAACCTCGAGCACAAATTTCACCTTCTTGACCAATAGGTAAAATATGTCCTTGAGAATCTGCTATTTTCATTTCAATACGAGGTAGTGCTTTTCCAACAGATGAATATCTTCGTTGTTTATCATCTTGGGCAAATACACTCATTGCCATTGAAGCTGAATTTTCTGTTTGACCATATCCTTGTGAAATTGTTTTTATTGGAATTTCACGTTCAAGTTGTTCAATTAATGCAGGATTAACAGGTGCTGCACCAAGAATAGCAAATACAAGAGAACTCATATTGAATTCTTTTCTTTTTGGATGAGAAAGTATATCACGAAAAATAATTGGTGCACCAACTAATGCTGTACATTTTTCTTCGTGTACAGTACGCATTGTGTCAACAGTATCAGGTAAAATAGAAGGAAATGCTGTAAAATATTTCGGTGCATTTATATTTAATGTACCAGCTATTTCACCAAATATATGAAATGTTGGTATAGGACAACAAACACGACTCATTAATTCAGGATATGTATAGCAAAGTTGAAAATTATTATTTAACCTAAAATATTAAAAAAAGATATTACTGAAATAAAATTTTAGAAAAACAAACTTACATATTATAATTTGTTAATGTAGCTGCTTTAGGTTCTCCTGTTGTGCCTGAAGTATAAAAAATAGCAAGTGGAGTATCACCATCTAATTGTGATTGACGTATACGTCGCTCGTCTTGTCTGGTGTTTGCACCTTTACGTATTAAGTCAGTATATGAGTGCATACTTGATGGTACACTAACTGATTTACCATTATCACCCGTTGTCAATATAATATGTTTTAATGTTGGTAAAGCTTTAGAATTTATTTCACCTTTTGTTTGATTAAGTTCAGGAATTAATTTATTTATCATTTTAATACAATCAATTATTTTAACATTAGGTCGCATAACTAAACCTTTACAACCAACTTTATTTAAACAATATGCTAACTCACGATCCATATAAGCTGGATTTATATTAACCTATAATAAAATTATTTCATATGATTTGTTTTTTTTACAAATTATGTTCAATTACTTTAATCACGCCAACTTTTGATGCTGCATATGTCAGTACACAATTTTCAGATGTATTCGGTAACCAAACACCAATTCGATCATTTTTTTCATAGCCAAGTTCAATAAGACTTGCAGCTAAACTATCAACTTCATCAAGAAATGATTTATATGTATAACGTTTATTTCCTTCGCCTTTAAATACATAGCATTGATGATCTGGATGTTCAAAAGCTAAACTATCCAAATGTTGACCAACTGTATGATATAATAATGGAACTTCAGATGCATGATAATAATAACTTTTTGTTAATTTTCTTGAAGGAATCGGAACTTTAGTTATTTTTAATGAACGACGAGAAGATAAGTTTATTATTGATGGATATACCGATCTATAAGATGTCCATAGGCGTGTTGATTTTGATAACATTATTGCAGACTATGATTAATGAGAAAATTTTGCTTATTGATAGAAAATATTATCAAAACGATAATAGTATGCATAACAAATGAATGAATGAAACAACAAAAAAGTAATCGAATTTGTAATGAAATGACTGTGATAGATTATGTTCTTTCTCTTTTTTTTTTCTTCAATGAAAAAATCATAGTAGGTATGAACTTTGTATTATGCTTATGTTTAGTTTATAGTTTAAGAATTTATCATAGAAAGAAGTACATATTAATCTATCGGTTTACATACTTTAATGATTGTTTGTTAAGTATTGATTGAAATATAAAAAATATCCAATGTATGTATGTGAACAGCACGTAGATACAACTTCGTCGTATTTTTCGGTTGAATACTTACTATACGGTTGTAAGGGAGAAAGCGCGCAAACGAAAAATGAAAAAGAGGTGTGCGTAATCGACGTACGGTTATATTTTACGTTCGATAGTAGGCAAGCGAAAAAAAAAAAAAGTTGTTTTGATGTGCTGTCTTTTATTATTATTGCCCTTCGCTCGACTTGTATACAGCAAAGGAAAGTCACGGGTGCTGTCTCATATTTGTAGTAATACTAGTAATAGTTGTATACGTTATCACATAAAAGCATCTATGCAATGGTTTGTTGTAATCATAGAAATTGAAGGAAAAGAAAAATAAATATGTTAGAATATGTGCTATTGGGTACGTTTTGTTATCAAATAACCATGAGGAAATAAGAACACGACGCACTTTAATCTTTGTCCTTTTTATTTAGATATGTAAAAAAAAAAACTGATATATTTTTACATCAATAAGCGTCACGAGTTGAATAAAAAGTAGGAATAAGTAAATTAGAATGAATGTCACGAGATTCTAAACAAAAATAAAAGATACATTTCATTTATAAGAAAAAGAAGAATAATTTTTCGCATACATATCGCCAAAAATTCTAGTAAATGTTTTTTTCAACTTAGTAAGTGTATCTTGAGTCTGCAAAAAAAAAAATCATCCGAATATTTAAGAAAATGGAAAATAATTCTTTTTTTTTTTCTGTGTTACATCAGTAGTATTTGATGATTGTCGAATGTTTCCATTTTGATGAATTTTTAGATTATTATTTTGTGGAAGTTTTGGTAACTCATCAAAACTTGGTATTCGTCTATTAATAATACAAAAATTTTTATTATTAAAAAATAAAAGAAAAAAAAAAAAAGCAAAAAATATTTAATTTACGTTAAAATGGATATTTCTTGATCAGGTCGACAATAAATTTGCATTTGATGCATAATAAGTTCGGCAATAGATTGACAATCTTCTTCTTGTGTTTCTTTTAAAAGTTGCATGGTACAATCATTTATTTTAATAATATATTCTTTTCCATTTATTGATTTTATTACTTCGATAGCACATATATCAAGTCCACCAAATATTTGACTTACTTCATCAATCCATAAACGATATCTTAAATAAAGAAAAAAAAAATAGACAATAAAATGTATCGGTAATAATTATAAAACCTGTCAGTCATTTCAATTTGTTGAATTATAGATGAGCCAATATTTGTTTTCCAATTACCACTTAATGATTTTCGACTAAAACACAACAAAAGTTTCAAATGTCAATGTATGTTATTTTATCAAGAGTTCAAATATAAAATTTCATAAATTTATTTTAAAGGAAATGTTATGTAAACGAAATTGTATACAAAATGAAACATTCCTCTTATACTTATTTTAGATCAGATAAAATCATATTTATTATAGACTTAATATCACTAAGAGATTGTTTGAAAAATGCAACAAGTTCGAAATTCGCTTTTTATAACTTTTCTATTACTAATTGGCGAATCCTTAAATCTATTCTAATGCATTTGTTATGGTCAAAGGTATATTTCCTTAGTTGTTCAGATGTAGTTAGAATTGAACTAGAAGTCAATTACTCAAGTGAAAGACAATTAGACATTGAACAAATAAAGAATTGTTTTGTCTGCATTTCACAAAATAGTGTTTATATTGAACAAGTTACAGTTCATATAATGTTGACTTTTTTTTGCTTCATGGTACAAAAAAAGTAAAAGGTCATAAAAATTTAGTTCTTTCGACCTGTAAGATATATAAAAACAAGTTTTATATCAAATAAAAAGTTATTGATCATAAATATTGAAACATCAATTTCATCTTTGATGTGAAGAATTTTCGTTGCTGTTCAAATGTATATATTCGGTCACAGCTTGAAACAATAAAAATCACACCAGGTCGATCTATATTTCACATGGTAGAATCAGAATATTTTCTTTTACTTTACTAGAGAAAAAGGTGATTTTGTGTAGGTTGAAGTGATTGTTTTTTTTTTGTTTGTTCTCTTATATTTCTCCTTGAAATAACGTGATATAATGTTTCATTGAATCAACCTTTACTCCTTTCTAATGATGGTTCTCAATAGTAAGTATCTTAATATTAAAAGATTTTGATTCAACAATTCTCTGTGCATATTCGAAACTACTTATTAGACGTTGTACATAGCACATTTTAGTTCTAGACGTCTAAGTTTAGTCAGAGATAACAAAGATAAGAAAGACTTAATTTATTGAGTAATATTTTTACTTGATTTTAGGTTAGAAAGACATATAGTCAATTAAACAACTTCTACTGTTCTTTTTCTATATCGATATGGCTTTTTAAGATATTTGCTTTGACAATCACTTGTACACCAGTTGGTTGATTTTATAAACATAAAGTTGACACGTTTGAAACATTATAATATTTCTTAACTCATTTGTGACACCTTGTCTGAATTGTTTTGATAGTGACGAATATTAAATCAATTAAGTGGGCAATAATAAAAATTTTTTTCTAATTTATCATATTAAGAAATTGTATTATGAAAATATTTACGAGAAACAATATCTAGTCAAATAAAATATTATTTTTATTTGTTGTAATGATAACTATCTTTGACTTAATCGAGTTAGTTCAGCTCAATCGTTATTTTGTTGCAAGATAATCGAATCTAGAAAATGAATCTCAGTTTTTTTTTTCATCTGATACAAATTCACATTTTGATCGAATGTTAATTGCAATCATAAACAGACCGAAACATCAATGCAGATGTCGCTTTAAATCTATGTATTCAACTGAGTTACAATTAGATTCTAACAACAGAAGTGTCACAATTTGTTGAGCACCAGCTAATACATTTGTCATTGTTTATTTCCTTTGTTTCTTGATGTTTAAAATTACCTATTTCTCTCCTATACAGTTTATAATAGTCGATTCTCTTTGATATTCCTCTATATATAAAATGGTAATATAGAAGACTTCTAATTTACCTAAAAGCTTTATAAATATTTCCTATTTTTTGTATATAAATATCACATTGCCCATTAATATATGGTTCAATTGTTGAATAACATTTACTCATTGAAATAATACTTCTTAGATCATGATAATCATATGAATTTTCAATTTTAATCTAAATAAAGAAAATAATTATATTTGTATTTAATTGAAAAAAAAATTTTTTTCTTTTGTTCAATATACTTTTCCTAAACCTTGATGAGCTTGACCAATTTTAATAACAGATGGAAATTGTGGTGAAATAAACTAAAATAGACAAAAAAAAAATATTTATTCAATAAACATCATAAGAATATTGACCATTTTTCGATGATTTGGATAATAGACTTGACTTATTAATGGAAATTGTTCAGCACCTAAACGTTGTTGAATTTTGAGTAATTCCGCAAACTATATCAAAGAAATTTTGTTTATTTAAAAAAAACAATTAAATAAAAAACATACAATCCAAGGTTTATCGCGAAAATTATATAAAGCTCTCATTGAATTAATACTTGGTACAGCTCCATATTGCATAGCAAGAATAATATTTATCCAATTGACGTTAATATCTGTTACATATTGTCGAACAAGTACGAAATCTGGACGAAATGATCTTTAAATTAAAAAAAAAAAGAACTTATTATTTCAGCAAAAATAAAGTAAATTTCCTTTGTGTTGTTTCTCATACCGGATCATATGTTTTCCATTTCGATAAACATCTATATTAATTAAAATTCCACCATGAGAATAAGCAGATAGATTTATTTCTTTGAATTGTGCCTAAACAATTCCAATAATTTTCATTATGAAATAAAATTGAAGAAAATTATTACGAGACTCATTCTTTTTTTTTTAAAACTTATACATAAACAACATTTAAATATAAGCAAAAAACCTGTTCAACACGAATGTCATAATCAGCAAAAATTTTTCTGTGTTGAAAATATTTACTCCTAAGATTAGTTAAATATTTATAAAAATCAAATTTATTAAAATATACCAATCAATTTCTTCATCATCAATAACAAATAATAATTTTGATTTTTCTTTCAATCTTGATTGTGATGATGTCGATTCTATTCCAGTTGGTTGATTAACAATATCTTTTGCAATATTTGATAATGGATTAGGATACAAAATATTTTCAATGGAATGCCTTGATGCATCTATATATGGTATTAATTTTGATTCCACTATTGATTGACGAGATGGAATATTCATATGAGAATCAAGTAATGTTGATCGAGTCATTATAATATCGGTTGATTCATTTTGAAAATCTCCTAAAAACAATCGTCGTTTTATGTAGTCCATCATTGTTATTAAATGCTATTTGTATCTGAACCTATAAAATAAATAAAAAAAACATTCTCTACCATTCACAATTTACGATTATTTGATGTTTTCCTTCTGAGGACATTGGAATTTATATGAATGCAATTTAGTATGGAAAATAATGAAAAGAAGATTCATCTCAAACCATATTGTTTCCTGCTGTATGCTTGCATGATGAAAAGTAATTGTAAATATATAATCTAGAACAATGAGAAATAAATGAATACAACAAATGTCACGATTGAGTCAATGCCTACGTTGTACGAATACAAAATAATAGAAAATAAGCTTATAATGAACGGCTACTTTCTTTGTTGATAAAAGAAGTCAAGACTCTTGTATTGATCTTAAAGAATAGAGTAAGTGCAAGGGAAACAATGAATTTTATGCAAATGAGAACACTGCATGTACCACAAAATTCTGTCTTTCTTTTCCTTTTTTCTTTTTATCTTCTCTTGTATGAACTCGCGAAAAAGAATAGAAACACAAGACGCGAGATGTAGAAACAGCAAGAATAAATGCATGCATGCAGAATATTAAAAAAATCTTTATTAGCTGTTACTGCAATCCACGAAAAGGCATGAACAGATGTCGCCGACAAGCTAATTTTGTTCGATTGTGGGCAATTTATCAATGTCTTCTATTACAAAATTGAACATCAAATTTTTTAGAGGACATATCATATATTTAATTGATATATATTAACTACCAAGTGATTGTTCTACCTTGTTTAAAAGTTACATGAACAATTTTCCTATGACGATTCGATACAGTTTTCTTGTTATATTTTACGTTACGACAGAAAATAATTATCAAAAGAATGACAGATCAAGAAAATGTATAAAGAAGGTTATTAATGTGCAAGCCTTTAACATATGTAAATGCAAAGAAAAAAACCCAAGGCAATATATGCAGGCATGAGAACGGGTTCAATGATGCATGACTTACGGTTACTTGAATACAGAGAAGACCTCTAAGAATTTTAATTGACAAAATGAGTTTCGATGTCCTTGAATAGTGAGATGAGAGAATATTTTTTTTCTTGTTCATTTTGATATATACAAGCAATATCATTCTTATAGATTGGTGATAGTAAAGTCACTGCTCTTTTCATTTCGAAGGAAATCTGTTCATTTCTCATTTATATTTGACGGTAAGAGATTATATCAGAACTTCGTAATAGTAATCATAGAAGCGTTCAAGGCAAATACTGCATTTAGTATATTACTTGAGCATGTGTTTTTTTTTGAATGCTCAGTAGAAGTGCGAAGAAAGTTATTTTAACATTAACAAAAAAAGAAAAGTAAAAGAAAAAAAAACATTAATCATAGTTCATTCATTTCTTTAGTTTAATACTATGAATTACCCATATCCAACATCTTCACCTTATATGCAAGCAGCCATGTCACAAGCTGTAAAAACAGTAATGAATGGTGGAGCATTACCTCCAAATTGTCGTTTTATGCCAATGCCATTTCAACAAGTTCAACAGATGTTACCACAATTAATGAGGACACCTGCAATTGGGAGTAAAGATCCAAACATCTTTCCTCCACAAACATCATATTATAGTCCATCACCATATACGAATAAGCCTCAACCACGTGGTCCTATACCTCGACAAAATTATAAGTATCCAATGGTTGCATATAAAAATAATAATAAAATATCGAAGAAACCAATTCGTCAACAACCCCATTCAAATATTTATAATTCGTCATCATTTGATTCTTATATGCGTAATTTAAGTTGGAGTCGTTTATTTAATCATCGTCATCGTAAATCTTCTAAACAACGAAGTCAAGATCATCCATCAACAAATTATGATAAAAAATCCAATTCATCAGAAAAACAACGATCAAATTCTTCAACAACAACATCATCATCGACAACAAGCGATGAAACAATACGACGAGTTAATGTTGTTAATAAACCATCATCTAATATCAATCCAAAACAACCAACCGAAGGTAGTTTACCATTTAAATATTCATCTGAATTTGTACCAGGTACAAGCAAACAACAACCACAAAGCATCAAATCTAATGATGTTTTCATTGTTAAAAAACCTTAATTAATATAAAGTATAAAAACAATTTTCTTTTTTTTTGTACAAAAAAAAACAGAAAAATCAATTTTCTTTTTTTTTATATAAATTAAAATAGATCAACCACCAGAAAGTTAAAATAGCAATCATCTGACATATTTTAAAAAAATGAAACCGATACCAAATAAATTCTTCTGTCATCTTTTTCTTCCCCTGTGCAATTTAACGAAAAAATTCCGCAGGAATCGTAATTGCTGCTGCTTGTGTATGATGATCAATGATTGGATGAAGACGAAAACGTTGATTTATTTGATTAAAATTATTTTTCTTTAGAGGAAATTGAAGTAGACGAGCATTAGAACTTTGACTTCCACCATCAATATCAATAACCATACGTGTATGTTTTATAAATAAAATTAAATCATTTGATTGATCATGTGATCGTTCAAAATTTACTATTTGATATGGCGTATGAGGCCCCATGAAACGACAAAGAACGATCGGAGCACAAGGTGCTGGTGAACCACTAATAGAAAAAACTAAAGAAATATATATAAATAAAAAAAATTAAACTAGATTTACTTATGAACAGTAAATACAAGACCAGTTGAACGATGTCGAATTATATAATCACGATAACCAATATGTTGAATTTCAAAAATTTGTGATTCACATTCATTCTATATAATTTAATTTAATTTAAAATAATATAAGAATTGAAAAAACAAATATTCATAACTAACTTCAAAATTTCGATCTTGCTGTACTAATGTTGAACGTTCAGGTGTAAATGTAATAAATTTACCTGAATGTAGAGCTTCAATTAAATAAAAACCTTCTGGTATTTTTTCACTCTATAAAATTAACGATAAATAGATTAGAAGAAAAAATTCTACTAATCATACCGCAAGATACCATTGATCGTGCATGGTAAATAGATATGAATGAATGTCAATTATTCTCTTTTATATTAGGTATTTATTGTTTTTGTTTTCTTTACTCCTACTACTACTACTCCTCGTTGTGTCGATTAAATGCGGCGAAGAATGAATCGTTCTCGTGGTCGTCTTTATAAACACAATACTATAAACACGTTCACATTTATTGACAACGATGGTCGGAAAAGAAAGAATGATGAGAACGAGAGAAAGACGAAGAAATAAAATGTATTTATAAATAACGAAAATAAGAAAGATAAGTCCTTGTGATGACGAATATATGTATTTAATTCTATATGCAATTGAAATAGAATAATAAGTGCGGGCAAATTATTATTACTCTTTTTTCTTATTCATACTGTATTTTTCTCTTGAAACTTGAAAGCATTCGCTATATTAGTATTCAAATGATTTGTTTTCTTCTCTTATTTGAAGAACCGATTAATATATATATGATTCATGAACAAATTGCTTGATGTGTTTTCTCGGCTTGTAACAGCATGCCACTTGATGATGATGATGATAAACTGTTTTGATGTTGTTGTTTTTTTTGCGTGACATATATTTATGAATATAAGTAAGAATGATGTGGATTTACCTTGAAACATGTTTTTTTGACAATATTTTAATCGATATAAAATATCATCTGATAGAATATTCTTCGTCATCTGACATAATTAAGTATATATGAAAAACATTTTTGCGTAGTTTATTCGACTAAAAAAAGGAATGTTATGTGATGGTTACAAGTTATAATTATACTGATAAAACTATAAAAATCTCAAAACATACTTAAATATATCTAGAAATCGATTTCTAAATTTTCTACAATCATTTTCATTAATATTGAATGAACTTGAATATTTGCAACATGTAGGTTGATTCGAAATGAATAATTTTTCTAACAGTTACATTCATTATTTCATCGAATATTGTCAAAACTTGATAATATTTATACAAGTTACACAATTGTATCGAGACTTATTGAAGTATAACTTAAACAGTTAATAGTGAAACTAGTTTTTTCATAAACCATCAAATTAAGTCACACTTTATGTTTTTAATATAAAGTTTTTAATATAATGCGAAGTCTAGCATTTATATAGTTATTCGCGAATTTTTTTATTGTTTGACTTACGAAAGCTCGCGACACATAAGAAGATTTCTCGATAATAGAAGACTCGCTTTAAACAAATGAAGCTAAAGACAATTTAGAAGATCTCCTCCCGTAACAATCGAGTTTATTCTGGTTTGTACAACTTGTTGATTATCTAACTTCAATATAGACAATATTCTGTTTCTATCATTTTTGAAGTTTATTAACTCAGAAACTAATAGGAAAAAATAATTAATTAATAATGAGTATCTTTATTAAAAACATGTCGTGCAGTCACATCAGTACTTTTTTCAGCATATTTTGAAGAAGATTTTTTTGAAAATTTCTATACGAAAATAATTAATACAGTGCGCAGTGATAAAAGTCACAAATGAAGTAAATTTTGTAAAATAGAAATATATTCAGTAAAACCAAGATGTGTATTATGTAACGCATCGTTTTTCTTATTTGCTTTCTTCTACGTATTCGTGCACATTCTTTAGTAGAAAGAAAAAACATATCTCGGGAGACACATATGGGTGCATGTGTGTGTGTGAAGTATGCTTTTCATGCCTGAGGACTCAATTATTTTTCAAAGGAGTGCAAAGATTTTTTTCAAAACTGATGTAAACAATACTAAAAACACCTTCAACATAATGTTCAACCATTCTTTTTCTGTAAACTATTTCTCTATGGGTAAACATATTCATCCAAGTGAGCTAGAGACTAATAACGAAGTTTTAGTACACTTCATTTAGAAAAGATGCTATGTGTACTCATCAAATCTCAGCATAAACATCTGACTTGAATAGCATTGACTAAAAAAAAATATGGTTTTCTTTTTGTCAACTATTTAACTATTTTGAATAATAAATGTCATTGGTACTTGATCTTCTTCTTGAGAAAAAATAGTGCTATTATAAATTGTATCCAGTTTTTCAAGGTCTGATTGAACATATTTGTCTAAGAACATTTTTTTTTCCATAATCTGTTTTCGTTTTTTTTCCGTACTGAAATATTATCTTCTTTTAATCCACTGTACATGGGCTAAATAAGTAAAATAAAATCATTTACGAAAGATGAGTAGGAGAAAAAAAAACGCTAAAATTAGAAACTATCGCTCGGATCACCCATTATATGAATTTTTCGAAGGATAAAATAGAAGATTCTGGGTTTTCTAATTTATTGAGGGCTTTAAATACTTAGGTCGACGAACATTAAGTTTATATACTACATTTGCGAACGCCCATATGCATCACATAAATGTACAATGATAATATTGAGTCATGTATCTCGTCTTATTTTTGCGCATATACGATGGTTTAGGACTTATATCTATATGACATAGGAATTGACATACAATTCAATTGTATAGAGTGAAACTTATCTTTGGATTTAATGTTGGAGACAAAAGATAAGACTTCTTATCGAAACGGAGATCTGAACTCAGGGCGAATATATAATCACCCTTTTGCAGCTTAGATGAATTGGCATAGTCTATTTCCTAATCTTTAGTAGAAAATTTTATTTATTTAAAGATAGAATGGTGAAAATGCAAATTTTTGTGGGCTTTGTTGTTTTTAAAAGTTTCAGATAATGAAAAGGAGAACAACAATACAAGTCGTCCAGAATTCTCTCTAAACAAGCAATTTTATATATAATATCAGAAAATACAACCGATGATAGAGAGAAAGAAAGAATCAATCAATCAATCGATAGTATTGATAATAGAAACATGCTGACAAGTACTGATAAACTTTATAATGATTACTTTTCAGTTTCTTTCTGACATCGATCAGTTGATTAATCGGAACGTTACTTTTATTAAACATAGAGATAGAAAAAAAAAAAGAATCTGATTCCAATAAACTGTAAACATATTTGGAAGAAAAGTATTTCATATTTGATGGTAGAAATGATTTTTCGTATTTTTCTTTTTGAAGATATCCATATTTCTCAATAATCAATAGTCGAATGAAATTCGAATGCTATCAAGTTGATTTCGTTTTGTTTCCTTATCAATTTTACTATTTTCCTTATGGATATGTGTATATTTTTGATTAAAATAAACATTTGATTATATTTATTGGCATCAAATGATATTGTTCTATTCTTATGATATATAGTACGATGAAAAAATAATCGAGTAAAAACTTATTCATATCAGACAAATGAAAGATACTAGTTTATTTTGGAAGAATGATTATCATAATATAATGTACGTAAATAATTTATATGATCACGAACAATAAGGCTCAATTAAAATAAGAAAATATCATCAATTTATTTTGATAAATACATGTTGAAATAGTTAAATATTTGAATAAAGAAACACATATTTTCCATTATAAAATAGGAAAAATTTACATGTATGCCTTTTAACGTTCAAGGTCACCACATGTTATTGTAAATCCTTTTTTTTTACTTATCGATTCATTTCTGAAAAACGCCAAAGAAAAGTTTTATTAATATTAAATAAACATCTTACAGTTTTGTGTCTGTTCAATACAAGCAGCTTTAAATGATGATCTATACAATACTAAAAAAAAAAGATATTTAATCAAGAAAAATAATATATATTTCAACACCGATGAGTTTATTCTAAAATATATCAATGAAATTTCATATCTTGCATTCTTATGTATCAATAATAATCATATTTTATTAATATAGAATGTCAATACCAATGCATATTTGAAAAAAAAACAATTTTGCACCACGTTAATAAACTATAAACTATAGTTGATGAATTGTAAAAAGAGTCGTTGTGTTCCTTTTCCATTACATGAACTACTGATATCTCTTTTGAATATTATATTCGTAAAACAATCGATTCAAGGACTAGTATGAATATTATCTTATCAATAAACCAATCCCAGTTTTGCTTATAAAAATACAAAAGAGAAAATGTTTAGAGATACTTTAAAAATTAAATGTATCAGAAACAAAAAAAGATTATTATTATGTAATTACATCGTTTTTCTTATAAACTATTGTTATAAGAAGCATAATTAGTGTCAAATTTGTTTATATATATATATTTATAAGCATAAGCGCAAGAATGAAATCAAACGACTTCAGTGTTATGATTTTATTTCGTTTAGACTGGTCTTTTTCATATATATCAGTATGGTTTCTCTTTCTTATTCAAATATTTTATTTTAATGTTAATGAATTACATAAGATTTTATGATTTTCACTTTCAAGTTTATAGAAAAGTAAAAAAAAAACGAAAACTCACATTTTTCTTTTATTTGCAAACAAGAGAACAAAAAATAATATACTTTATTCGTAATGTGAAGATAACTGAATGCCATTCGAAGACTTTTTTAATCAAAAGAAAGAACGGAAAACGACTTGATTAAGATCCCGGCAAATTTCTCAATGTTGGCTATTGTTTAGTTTTCTTCTCTTGTTCTGTGGTTAGAAGATCGAGAATAAGAATGGATGTTTCTGAAGAGAACAATAAGAAAACAGTTTGTTTTTCTGTTTTGTGTCGGTGTAATTGACAACGGGAGACATTCATTTGCCAAGAAAAGGAACAAGTTGATAAGAGACGGCAGAAATATTTTTGCTACCATGACTTCTGCTGTAATTTGGTTTCCATGTATTTTCAATCGACATAATTGAATCAACAAAAAGCATTGTATTTTTTTTCATTCAAGATCATTTAGTTTCTTCTTTAGTTAATGGAGAAAACATTAAGTGAGTATCAATCTAAAACAAAACAGAAAAGCATATTTTCAAATTAAAATTTTCTTCTTATCAAAACAGTTTAAAATATTTCAAGCGAAATAATTGATTATTGAATTTTTTTTTATTTTCATACGTCTAAGTAAATGAAAGTACTGTTGTACTCACATGTATAAAAGAATGTTCTTTTCTTTCATATTTTCTATGCTATATTACGAACATAATCTTTTAAATTCCATTAACATTTTGATCGTAAATAAGAATCATAGATACAACGAAGAATGATGGAAAGAAAATATAAACAAACTTGAAATTTATAAGAAAAGAAAAAGAAACATCTAGTTCGTTGGACATATTTGGTAACATTCGTCTACAATATTTGTAAGACAAGTGAAGTGAGTATCCATGCCTTAACTCCCAAAATTATTCGACCAGGTTTATTTTCAATTTTTTTCTTTCGATGTAAATGCTAACAAGTATTGAAATAGTCATTTGAGTAGTGAGTTTAATTGCCAACAAGATATTTTTAAAGATGAAAATGGTTGCAGATTTACCATGGATAACATCTCTGAAAAGCCAAAACTGAAACTTTACAGATCCTTCAATTCATTAATATAATTTTATTTGAATTACTTAAAATGATGATACAAACTATTTTCTTTAGAATTAGCCATGTTCTAGCTCTGAATGAGATTTTTAGACCGAAATACATCAGCCTTGGGGAAGTCACAACAACTGTGTTTCTATACGAAATAATAGATAACAAAGGGTTTTGTGCTGTCTGTAACGTTGATTCATTTCAGTCAAAAAATCTCGTTCAAAGCTTAAAGATGGTACATGTTTGTGCACAGAACCATTTGCTCTATCAATCTGACTAATTCAAACAGATTTCTATGAACTGAAAAACTTGGTTTTTCAGAAAGCTAATGCTTAAGAAGTTAATAATCATTTTTATATCCAAAAATTCTTATTAAAAATAAAATTTTCCACTAAAACCACTCTTTGAATTTTCATTTAGCATTTACAACCAGTGATAATAGTTGAAAATAAAATTTGCCAAATAAGTTTGAGAGCAACTCTATACATACATATATACGTATAGTATATGTGATTGAAAGGTTTTAGAATAAAATTATATCCGACATGTGCCTGTGTTTCTTTTTTCATTTTTATTTCATTGTATTCATTACAATCAAAAAAGCAAGATGATTAAGATTGAAGTATAGTGGCCGTCGCTATCGACATTGTTACAAGAGTATTTTTTTTTCTCTTTCTACGCCTTTGCTTTTCTTTTTTTCGATCTTTTTGAAAATGAATGCATCATAGGCATATTTAAATATGCGTAAAATTTTCGTTTTTTATTAAGAAGAGTGTTGATGTCAATCAATAAAAATTGTGTTAAAATAAAACAAAATTAATTGAGAGACACTCAATGTCGAGTTTTTTTGTTTGCTATGATACTAATAAAATATTTCTAAGTGTGAATTGGTTTTTAGATCTCTCTGTCCGGTGATCATTTACTATGCATAAGAAGCGAAAAATTTAGGAAAAATGTATAAATACTTTTTTGCAATCGCCATAAAAATATTACTATGGCATGTAAGTATGGTTCATTATATGTTCGTTTTTCATTTTTGATATAAAATTGTATTATTTAATTTAGATGTGTTTATCTTTGCATGAATGTAACAGAACAATTAATGGAACTGAGATGAGCTTTACTTGTCCATCGATAGTTGGTAGTCAAGAGCTTAGATTATATGATTTAACTGTTGCTCAATTGAATAGTATTACATCATTGATAGTAACCGGTAATGAAAATATTGTGGGCCCTTTTACACGTATTCCTGCTAATATATGTTTATTAAGAAATTTACAAGTTAGTTAATTGAATATTTATTCTCCTATTATGTTTAAAATTCTTTTAGAAAATTGATTTTTCGTATAATCAGATTATAGAAGCAGATCCAACAGGATCATTAACTCAATGTTTAACAAAAGTAGTTACACTTAATCTTACCTCTAATAATATTTCTAACTTTCCATCGTTTATGATATACAATATGCCAAGTTTAAAAAATCTTTATTTTCAAGATAATCTACTGACTGAAATACCTGTGAATGCTTTTACGGACGTATCATCATTAGAAATAATCGATTTTTCATATAATAATTTAACAACGTTTGAGCTGTGGGCTCTTGAAGTTAAAACAAAAGCAGATTTTAGTTATAATCAAATTTCTACTATAACGAATAAATATTTCTTTAAGAAAATACTGAATAGAACTATAGAACAGGGTGTTTATTTAAGTAACAATAGTGCAGCAATAAATTTTACTGATGCGGTTTATGAGATGTATAATCAATGTGAAGAAGTTTATCAATGGTATTTTAGTAATATGGACTTACCAATGCAGCCGTGGTTTACCTGGAAATTGGCTTATATTGACTTTGGTACCACACGAATTAATTGCAGTTGTGATCAAGCCTATTTTTTACGTGTATTTAAAGATAGTAGCTTTCTTGAAGGGCAAATTTATCCGATACAAAATGCAATGTGTTCAAACAATTCACTAGGTGTTAACGATACAACTCTCTGGAATTCGAGTTGTGCTTCACCTATCTTTGAAACGAATTCAACTGTCGACTTTTCACAAGTTTATCCTAAATTATGTAAAATTACGGAAGATGAAGGTGGTGAACTAACAAACGTAACAGACATTGGTCCACCAACATTAAATGCGGTAAGATATATTTTATGAGAATACAATCTGAAAGATATGTTGAAATATACTGATAGAAATTTGGAATCGATCTAGAGCTGGTCGGGTCCAAAATTGTTGAAACCGAACCCCGTTGAATCGCACTTTGACATTCTCAAGGAAATTTTCTAATCGGACAAGGATATACACCTAGATTGTACCAGATATTTTTTTTAGTTTTCTATATTCGATAACTACTGGAGCCCATCTATTCCGAAATTGTCGAACCAGAAGCCGAACGGATCCGGATTCAGGATCAATATAACTGGTTATAAACCGACTTCTCTTTACAAATGAATTAATACCTTAGCAACGCTTCTCGTTAGTCACAGATCAGGACACATACTTTAATATTGCGATTCACTCCTCACGGATTATGACAAGCAATACTCACGAGAACGAAACCTGCTGCGGCATTAATTTAAAACATAGTTATATTTAATATAGCTGTCATTTTGCTTTAGTAGCATAACCAAAAAAAAGTTGTAGCGGAGGCCTAGTCTTGTGAATATGCCTGTAGAGAGAACTCGACCTTCTTTTTTTTTTGAACAAAACTTAATCGTGGTGGAAGGGAGAGAGTCTGAATTGCCGTTCAATTATGTCACTACTTCGCCCTTCTTCCATATTAACTCTAATAAATAACAATTATTATTTTTTATCATCAAAATGTATTAACAATAAGTTGGAATTCACAAATCGAAACGTACGTTAATGAATTTCTTGTGGTCACATTTTGATCCTATAGTGATTGTGCTAAAAGCTTTTTGAAACAATCTTAGAAAGATTTTGTTTATCAATTTCGTTTTCTAATTTGAAATCAATGTAGGTAACTATTCAGGATAGATTTAAGTAATAAAATTTTATTTTTACAAGAATTATACATGATTTGTATATGTCCTGTTAAATTTAATTCGAATCATTGTTAGATTTTATATTCGAGTATGTTTTTTTAGTCTTTTTATCCGAATTATACAACAGCATCATTGAACCCAGGAGCATGTTACTTCTCGTTTTCAGACAGTACTTCAATGATGATTAGATGTACAAATGACACATCCAATTCAGCATCAAGAATTCCTACAGATTTATTATCAAGTCCTTACATGTCCAATATAACTCATATTACATTTTCTTCATCTATTTCATCACTTCCCTCATATGTTTGTTCATTACCATCTGGTGAAATTGATTTAAGTTTTCAAGCATTTACTACACTTAATGATACAACATTTCCATGTCTCGATTCATTTCGTACAATAAAATTATCGTTTAATCAATTAACATCAGTCAATATGAAAAATGGTAATTTGAAAAACTTAACTTCACTTGATCTTTCATCAAATAAACTTACATCATTACCATATTCTATACTTAATCCTACACCAACATCATTACGTTATCTTGATTTACGAAATAATTCTATAAATTATCTTGATCTTTTTATTTATACACTAAAAAATATTACAATTAATCTTGATAATAATCCTATTAATAGTTCAAATATTATCAATCCTCAAAATGTAACATTAGGAAATAATGATACTTCAACAGTGAATATCACGTTTCCTGGAACTGTAAAAAATAGTACAACTCCTATTACAGACGAAATAGCATTAACTTATGGTATATGTCAAAATTTTCAATCATTACGAAACTATCTTCTTAAACTTCAATCAACAGTTAGTCATGTTGTACTTGTATGTACATGTGTATCAATAAATTTAAAACAAATATATCAACAAAATGGATATAATATTACAAATGATTTTCAGTGTTCAACTGCAGGTGACGAAGAAACTTTTTACGCATTAAACATGACTTCTTGTTCAAATGTTACCGATTTTAAATCAGGATTATGCGCTGAGGTATGTCGTATAATCTTTATCTTCTTCTCGAAATGAGATTTTAATCAAATTTATAAAAGAATAAAAGATAGAAAATTAAATATTTGATTGCAATCATAATAATATTTAACACGTATAAACTAATCGTTCGAATATTTTTCAATTATTTTAATATGAATTTTTCGTAACTCTAGCTTTCAGTGTTTTTCATTCTATTGTGTGCTATCTCTATAATATTGTTCTGTAACTGTAAATTATAGAAATACATTCATATACAACACAGAAATCATTGTCGACTAAATCAATGACATGATTATTGCTGTTGTTGTATTCTTTAGTTATTCAACTGCACATATAGATATTACTGGATATGACAACAATGAAATATTTAAGCACTACTGTTGAGTTTACAACTATTTCTTTAACGATTCTTATAATAAACTTTCAGTGAATTTTAAAAAAATTAAAATTTAATCAGATAATTATGTTTACATCAATAATAGGATATGAATCAAATAAATTCATCATGTTCAGCAAATATATAATAAGAACGATATGATGTTTTAATCATATATTCATAATAGCAAATTCTATTGTAAGAACATCGATAAGAATAACAATAAGCCGAAGGATAAGTAATATCGCCTACAGATAGAATAGTTATCGGTGCGGGTTTAAGACTACTTGGTCTGATAGTCATGACCAACGTATCTTATTTATATTTGTTTCTTTTATTATCTCATAGAGAATGTATCTAGAAGCTTTGTTCAAAGTTGATTATGTCATATATCATTATCCACAGATGGAATAGTATGATAATTCATCAGTTCAGTGTCAGTATGGATTTTAAACCATCCAGTCTGACCGACTCAGATTGGCATCGGTACTGATCGTAAAAAATCCACACTAGCTTCATCTCTGGTATGACTGTAAGTGATGTACCAATGATGATCTGTCTACTATTGTCTTTATTGCGCTGATTACCATTATTAGATCATTCTAGTATTATATTCATCAATGATATAGAAGAGATATTCTTTGTTATACTTATTTTGAAAACAACCTATCTCTTTACATTGCTTACTTGTTTTTCTCGGCTTATTTTTTTTTACTTCTGCTTTATGTGTCTAAATAATGATTAGAAATCTACAGTAGATTAGATTTACATCAACTGAAATCATTATATTTGTATTATTTCTTTGTTCATTTCAGCCACCTCCAACTACAGTTGCTCCACCTCTTCAATCAAATAATAATGATTCCAATTCGAGTCGTACCGCATTAATTATTGGCCTGGTTGTTGGATTAGGTTGTTCCCTTTTACTAGTTGTTGCTATTCTAGTTGTAATTTACATTGTAAAAGCTAAAGGTGCAGTATCAGGAGTGACAAAACGTGTTGATCGAGCTCCTGTTACTAGTCAAGCACCTGAAGATTCTCTCCAATCTCGTGTACAATCTAGAAGTTTTCGATCAGTAAAATTAGCACCAATCATTCATAAATCAGCTCCATTACCTGCAACACCTGTTGCAGCTGTTATACCTACTACAGCTTCTACAACGGCATCTCATACAAATACTAAATTACGTTCGTCATCAAAAGGAATTTCACTTCGACTTGATTCTATCAGGTATTAATTGGACTTTTCACATAAAAAAAAAAGAATATTCTAAAAATCTTCTTTAACAGGTCACCAAGTAATGTCAATCCACAATACCCACCGAATTCAAATGCTTTAAATAATACT